AGAATATGCAGCAGCAGCTGATGGAGAACTTCAAGTGCAAGAACCTTGGGGAGGTAAAGTACTACCTCGGGATGCATGTGGAGAGGGATATAGATCACAGGTGGTTGAAGCTGCACCAGGAGAAGTTCATCAAGGAGCTGGGGGAAAAGTACAGGATTGAGAATGAGCGCAAAGTTGCAACTCCCCTGCCAGCAGAATTCAAACTTATGAAATCTGTAGAGGATGAACTGGTTGAAGCCGAGGAGCAGCAGCAATTTCAGTCCTTGGTGGGCAGCCTCTTGTATGCAGCAGTTCACACAAGGCCTGACATCTCTTTCTCGGTCGGGCAGCTGGCTAGGATGGTGCAGAATCCATCAGAGGAGCAGGTGGATGCAGCTGAGCGTGTGGTGAAGTATCTGAACTCTCACCCAAGCATTGGAGTTCAATACTCCGCATCTGCACAGGTGAAGCAGAAAGGGGTTGAGGTGCTAAAAGAGAAAGGGAAGCGGCTTGGAGAAGGCAAGCTGTTTCTCACTTGCTTTACAGATGCTTCGTGGGCCTCTGAGAAGGAGGATTCCTCATCTGTGGAAGGATACATCTGCGTAGTTGGAGGAGGACCTGTTAGTTGGAGGTCAAAGAAGCAGACGAAGACGGCACTCTCTTCTGTGGAATCAGAGTACATAGCGATGTTCCATGGGGTGAAGGAGGTAATTTGGCTGAGGAGGCTGTTAGAGGAGATTGGACAGGAGCAGAAGGTTGCTACTCCGCTGTTCTGTGATAGCAAGGGGGCTCTCGGATATGGCCAGGAACGCTGTGCTTCATGGGCTCAATAAGCATATGCGTCTCAAGGGCACTGGCTGCGTAAAGAGGTGAAGGGGGGGACGGTGAATCCGATCTACATCAAGACTCACCAGCAGCCAGCAGACTTCCTCACCAAGAGGCTTGCGGATGAGCCTCATTAGCGTTGTGTGGAATGAGCATTAACTAGCATGGAATGATGGGGATGCAGCCGGCAGGCTGAGGGGGAGTGTGTTGGGTGCAAATTCACATTGCACGACATCCTGCCGTCTGTTTGTACGAGTATGCGTGTGCGAATGCATTTGGGTGTCAATGGATTGTTCGTGTGTTTGTTTGCTTTCACAATTTTCGCTTGAAGGATTTGCAGGTACTCGCGCATTGTGCGCTTCGGCACAACATTGTACGCGCTATCAATAGTACAAGCACACGGAACCCAAGATGGAAGATTTGCGGTTCGGTTGAATTGATTACGCAGATTCAGTTCTATCCAACTCGAAATTGTACTGTTTTGTTTGGTTGACTATAGTGTAGCAGGGCAGGCACTATAGGGGTACAATTTAGGTGAAGATTGGATGTTGTTTGTCTGTATCTGCATGCTACAGAGCCAGGGGAAACCAGCGGAACCATCATTTGGCTGGTTGGACAAAGACAAAACAAGTTCTGTTTTAGTACCTGAACCTGGTTGTTGTTTTTCCAGGTTGAAAAAACAGAACCAGAGGTTGTTTACCAACTTACTAGATGCTGTTTTGTCCAGCCAGGTTGGTTCTATTGCTTGGAATTATTTGGGATCATCCGTGGTTGTTCCCAGGTTGATTTCCAAGGTCCTTGCTAGCTAGAACTATTTGTTCCTTCCCTGTTTGTACCTGGAGATAGTCAATTTGATTCAAGCAAATTCCTTTCTTCCTGGAATTTCGCTCTACACGGTACGACCCCGGAATGCTACCCGAGTCAACGGGCAGCAAGAGTGGTGCGCAGCGTGTCGTGCTACTCATGTGGCTCCTGGCGGAGACCGTAGACTGGTCACCGCAGGCTCCACTAGTTCCTAGGCGGGAAAGTGCCAGTGAAGCTAGAAGGACGGCGCAACAAAATCTCCTCGTGCAGGCTGCCCTTGAGAAAGGCGATGGAGAAGTCGAGAGAGTGCAGTTCGTAGTCTCGCTGTGCTCCAACATGGAGTAACACAAGAAGATTAGTCATCTTTGTTAGCGACTAATGACGGAGTCTATGAAGATTAGGGGCCGAAATATCACAAAATCGTTGGGCTAGAATTCTGGATAGAATTTTCGACTTCACAAGAAACGTCTTCGACGAAAATTACATCGTTGAAAGTTCACCAATATTAGAATGTTATAGCTCTAGTCCGTGGATACAATTCCCAATTTGAATCGTACGGAAAGGCGAAGTATTTCTTGAGTTATGAATTTCGGCGCACTAGGGGGTATGCTGCCACAGAAACTTAACTCAATCACAATTTTTCTCACAAGTACCACACGAGAAAGTTAGAGTTGCAATGAACCAAGTGGGAGGGGATGAGGAGGACGAGAGGGAAGGTCCCAAGAGAGTCCCCAACTAAGGAAACCCCATGCCACACAATTCCCCTCTCTATAGGTACCCAACTTGCACCCCAACTTTGCCACACTTGCCAACCTGGTTTGGCGTCTCCCAACAAGGTTGTATCATCTACAGTGACAAGGACGAATTTCCCAACCCCCAAAAGTCTGTACCCCATATTGAGTCAACCCGCAAATTCCCATAGTCGCCGCATCACAATCAAAACTTCGAACAATCATAACTTTCTCATTCTTGCTCCGATCGCGGCGATTCTTGGTTCGTCAGAAAGCTCTCGAGCAGAATAATATCCAAACTATACCGAACACAAATTATTGCACACACTCACACCATGCATGCAAAGCACGAACATATGATGAGAGGCAGACAGACATGAATGCAAATGATAGCATCACATAACAATCTTCGGGGTCGGTGCAAAGATCTGAAAGAAGTCAACTCGCTCGCACTGACTGAAGCCTCTAGTCACGAAGTGCGCCTTGAAGACAAGCGGTGATCGCGGCGGCCGCTTCACCTTGAAGATCCACATGCCATCGACAACGTTCACCCCAGGCGCGGGAACTGCCTGTGGATCTGCAAGACGCCATCTTCGACTCCATGGCTGCTATCTAGTGAGAGGCCAACTGCCCCTACAATGCCTCATGGTACGTGCGAGGAGTTGATATGTCAAGGGCGTCGGAGTCTCCCTCAGGGGATAACAGCATGGCACAGAGATGAGGAGAAGCAGTTGCCAAAAACTTCAGCTCAAAATACCTATCCTCTAGGACGTCACTGGCCAAGGGCGCACTCACCCTCGATGGACAGAGGACGGGCAGACACCACTCGGGTGGCGTAGTCAACGCGACAAGTGGCGGAAATGTCAGCAACAGCAGTAGTAAGTGCTGAGACAGACGATGGCGAGGCACGAGGGTCGGTGACTAGAGAGGCGAGAACACGAGTGATAACAAGACGGGTGGCACGGCTTTAGTCAGTGATAAGGGTAGAGGTGGAGGCTGTAAGAGATGACTCAAGAGGTGACGAGAGAACAGACTGAGGCGGAGAACGACGAGGATTCGAACAAAGTAAGACAGTGCGGAGGTTGTCAAAATGAAATGAGGGATGTGCACGAGCGGGACAACGAACTGTTCAGTCGTGCGGGACAACAGGAGGAGACGTCTGTGACCAAGGAGGAGAGAAAAAAGTTAGAGACGAGTTCGAAGGGGGGAAAGTAGGACCGTAAACAGGAGGAGATAGTGAGAGGTCTGGAGGAGGAGAAGGAAGACCAAGGGCCCGAAGGCCACTCACAAGTGGAGGCAATGGGTACAAAGGCGGCAGCTGCTGCTGCTGCTGCTGCTCCTCCTGCTGCTACCGCTCCAGCCCCAGCCCCAGCCGCTCCTGCTCCAACCGTTCCCGCTCATCGTGCTCCAGCTGACGAAGCCTCTGGAAACTCGTTGGGTAGCGGTGGGGAGGTGGGGAAGGCGCCGTAGCAGCAGTGCCTCCAGCTCCAATCTCCTCGGAACTAGCACATCTACCTCCAGCACCCCCAGATTTAGTGTCCCCATCACGAGCCCCCCCAGAACTAGCATCACGAGTGCCAGAACCCTCAGCGCGAATACCTTACGAACTAGCACCTCCAGCGCCAGTACCCTCAGCTCCAGCACCCTCAGAACCAGCACCTCCAGCACCAGTACCCTCAGCTCCATCACCCTCAAAACTAGTACCTCCAGTGCACGTGCCCCCAACACCAACACCCAGAGTCAATTGCAACCTGTCGCGGTAGAGCTGAAGGCTGCTGTGGTGACTGTGATAACTATTGAAGTTAGGTGAGTAGCAGCCATGGCTAGTGAGTGAAGTAACGGGAGGAAAAAGGTTTTTTTACCAAAGTGTCGAGAGACATTTGAAAGTTAGGGTTGGAAAACCTCAACTGAACCTAAGGCGTGTTCAAAGCAGAGACAAACTGCAAAGTGAACCTAAGATGAACCAGAAATGAAGCTAAGTATAAAAGTGGCCGAAAAATAATATAAGGCCAAAAAGAAATGCAGAGCGAACACTAGCCTACTCTAACACACCCCCAGGCTAGGTGAAGCTCTGGAACAGAACACCTAGTGAACCGGAACACACCTAGAATTGGCGAGACGAGTGAGACCAAGCGCGCGGACGTAGAAACGGTGCGCTGCACGAAGGAGGACCTTGGTGAAAATGTCAGCAAGGTTGGCGTCGGCGGCCACCTTGCGAAGGCAGAGGAAACCAGACTGCACTAGCTCGCGCACAAAGTAGTAGCGAAACTCTATGTGTTTGGTGAGGGCATGATAGATAGGATTTTCAGTGAGATGAATCATGCACGCACTGTCACAGGAAAGCGTCACAGACTGCTGAGAGTGACCAAGCTCAACAAGGAGAAAGGAGAGCCAGCGAGCCTCCTGAGCTGCCAATATGCCTGCGTACAACTCAGCCTCAAAGGTAGAAAGACAGACAGAGGATGAACGAGTGGAGCGCCAGCTGATGAGACCACTCCCAAGAGTAAATCCATAACCCTGAGAGGAGCGGCGGTCAGGGCGAGAATCAGCGTAGGAGGAATCACAGTGATCGGAAAGAACGGGGGGGGAAGTGCCACCAAGAGTGAGTGCAAGATCAGATGTAGCGCGAAGATAGCGGAGAACGCGCTTGGCAGCCGCCCAATGCACGTCATTGTGGCGACCAAGGCCAACGAAGCGAGAGAGGACACTGAGGAGATAAGCAAGATCAGGGCGAGTGCATTTCATAGCATACATGAGTGACCCAACGAGCTCTAGATAGGGTCACAATTCTGAGGAGGGAGCAGGGATGGCAGGGGCAGTGAGCTGATGGTTAAACAGAAGAGGGGTGGAGACCGGTTTGGCCTGTGACATCTCGAACCGCTGGAGGATGGAGTGGATGTAGAACGCCTGAGAGAGAGAGAGAGAGAGAGAGAGAGAGAGAGAGAGAGAGAGAGAGAGAGAGAGAGAGAGAGAGAGAGATGGTGCGGGCAGCACCATCGCGACGAATCTCCATTCCAAGATGAAAGAGCTCGCCGGAATCCTTGCATAGAAGATGCGCCTGCAGGGCCTTCTTGACAGCAGCCAAATAGGGAGAATCCTTAGCAAGCAGCACCAAGTCGTCCATAGGCAAGAATGTAAAGCATGTGAGGGGAAGTGCGAATGAAAAGACTGGGATCCGAGGTAGAGGTGGAGAAACCAAGAGAGTGAAGAGTGGAGGCGAGCTTGGCATGCCACTCGAAGGGAGCCTACTTGAGGCCATATATAGGGCGCTTCAGCTCCCAAACAGTGTCTGGAGGAAAGGGGCGAGGAAAACCGGCAGGGCGCTCAAGAAAAATGCGCTCATGAAGCTCGTCCTGAAGAAAAGCATTCGAAACATCCATAGAATGGATCTCCCAATCCCAGCGAGCACCTAGGTCAAGAAGGAGGCGAAGGGTGGGGAGACGAGCAGTGGGAGAGTAAGTGACAAAGTAGTCAATGCCTTCACGCTGGGCAAAGCCTTTGGCGCAATAACGGGCTTTGAAGAGAGGAAGCTCCCCGGGCAACTGCTTGACACGAAAGACCCGTTTGCCCTTGACAATGGTGGCACCAGGGGGGGGGACAGAGTCGACGTAGGAATTGGTACGAGTTAACGTCTCACACTCAGCAATGATGGCAGCCATCCACTCATTAGTGTGAAAGCTAGAAACGGCCTCGGAATAGGACTGAGGGATGGGAATGGCGGCAGTGTCGGCAGAAATAAGAGTGGGTGAATTGCTGAAGTTGCCGATGGTGACACATAGAAGAGGGGAGACAGGGTGAACAGAGAAGAGTTCCTCAAACCGATCTTCAAGAAGATTGGGGTCCAGAGAGGAAGATAGACGAGTGAAAAGAGCGGAGTGTTGAAAATTAGACATTGCGTGGGTCATGGAGCGAGTGAGGCGCGAAGAGGGGAAGGGGAACAGAAGGAAGGGAAGCATCACGACGTGGTGATGGAGAGGGCATGGGAGCTGAAGAGGAAAAGGCAGGAGGAGAGTTGCCTGAGGTGACGGCGAAAGGAGGGGCGGAGGGGGCAGGAGGGAGAGGAGGAGCAGGGGCGAGGGGAAGGGGAGGTGGGGAGGGAGTAGCAGAGGGAGCAGCTGAGGGACGCTGATTAAAGTCAGACCAATGGAGAGAAGGAGTAGGAGGGGTGGGAGGGGAAGTGAGGAATGGAGAGCGAGTCTCGTCAAAGATGACATCCTGGCTGCGAATGAGCTGCAGAGAGGAGGGAGCATAGAAAAGGTAGCGAGGACAATCAGAGATGATGCCATTGAATGCACACAGCTGCGTCTTAGGAGCAAGTTTCCCACCTTGACATGCCCGATCAGCTGGATTGACGAGGACATGAGCGACACAGCCTCACACCTGAAGAGGGCAAACAGAGGGTTGGCGGCCCGTCCAGAGCTAAAAGGGGGTAATGGTGGGGCGAAGAGGATGAGGGCGAAGGTTGGAAAGAAGGGTTGCGTTAACAAGAGCATAGCTCCAAAGAGAGCGGGGAGTGGAAGAATGGGTGAGGAGACAACGAGTGATCTCCATGAGGTTCGATTGCGATGCTTGGCAACACCATTTTGTTCAGGAGAGTGTGGGAGGGCTGAGTTTTGGCAAATGCCATGAGAGGAGCAGTAAGAGGAGAGAGAATGATTAACGAACTTGCCACCACCGTCGGAGTGGAAACGCGAGACATGACGCCCGAAGCGAAGGCGAGCCTGTTCAGCACAACGAATGATGAGGGAAGGGGCATCAGATTTGGCACGAAGGGGAAAGACAGCGGCAAAGTGAGAATGGTCATCAACGAGAAGGAGAAAGTAACGATGACCTTGTCGGGAGGCAATTGGGGAGGGACCCCAAAGGTCCATATGCACGAGATCAACAGGCTGGGGGAGGCAGAAGGGGAAGAAGGATGAGGAGACTGAGAAAGCTTAGCTTGAATACAAGGAGTGCATAGAGGGGCGAAGGAGGAAGGAAGGGGTGGGAGAGAGGAGGGAAGATCATGAAGCAGCTTCGAATGGACCATGCTGCGAAGGAGAGGGAAGTTTTGTTGGGTGCAAATTCACATTGCACGACATCCTGCCGTCTGTTTGTACGAGTATGCGTGTGCGAATGCATTTGCGTGTGAATGGTATGTTTGTGTGTTTGTTTGCTTTCGCAATTTTCGCTTGAAGCATTTGCAGGTACTCGCACAATGTGCGCTTCGGCATAACATTGTACGCGCTATGAACAGTACAAGCAGAAAGGACGAGCTCGCAAAGGAACCCAAGATGGAAGCTTTGCGGTTCAACTTACTTGATTGCGCAGATTCAGTTCTATCCAACTCGAAATCGTACTGTTTTGTTTGGTTGACTATAGTGTAGCAGGGCAGGCACTATAGGGGTACAATTTAGGTGAAGGTTGGATGTTGTTTGTCTGTATCTGCATGCTACAGGGCCAGGGGAAACCAGCGGAACCAGCATTTGGCTGGTTGGGCAAAGACAAAACAGGTTCTGTTTTTAGGACCTGAACCTGGTTGTTGTTTTCCCAGGTTGGAAAAACAGAACCAGAGGTTGTTCACCAACCTATCACCTGCTATTTTGTCCAGCCATGTTGGTTCTGTTGCTTGGAATTATTTGGGATCATCCCTGGTTGTTCCCAGGTTGATTCCCAAGGTCCTTGCTAGCTAGAGCTATTTATTCCTTCTCTGTTTGTACCTGAATATAGTAAAATTGATTCAAGCGAATTCCTTCCTTGCTGGAATTTCTTGTCTACGCGGTGCGACGGCGGAATGCTACCCGAGTCAACGCTAGTACGCTAGCACTCCAACGCTAGGCTAACGCTGTCCGAGCCATAACTTCGTAATGGCAGAACCTTTCGCGAGGCAACTTGGCTTATTTTAAAGCTCTTAGAGTGAGCTTCGATATAGGAAATTCTCAGCTTAATCCGATCGACGGTCTGCACGATACGCTGCGCGACGTTCAAGGTACTCTTGCTGTTTTGACTAAGTCCCTCTTGATTCCTCTCTCTACAAACTCGGACCCGAGGATAGGGGCTGGTCTTGTACCAGGCACCCAAGGACCCTTGGAGGTGACCCCGAGGAGAGGTTTTAAGTGTGATAAAGTCTTAATAGCTTGAGTTTATTAGGCCCTTACACCAACAAGCTGGTATCAGAGCTGCGTTATAGTGATCCTCGATATAGGTAGCTATGGCGGGCAACACCTCGGCGGTAGCTGGTGAATCTTCAGCCCAAGATCGTAGCGGCAGCCATGATTCTGGTGTTTCTGCGCCAAGGGGAGCGCGAACAAGCCAGGGCTCGCTGATCAAGGAGGTGCTGAAAAACTTCACCGTCGAGAAGTTCAATGGTGAGGGCTATGATGATTGGGCCTGGAAAATGCAACTTTATTTCCGTCAAATCGGATTGCTGAAACTAATGATTGGGGAGGAGCCTAGACCGAGTGACCCCGCCCTTCAGGAAGATTGGGACGAGCGCGCCTCGGCTGGCTACTACTTGATGTCGCAGAGTTTGGAGCTGAACCAGCGTCACCACGTCATGCACCTGCTGCCGGAGGTTGAGTGCGGTCCGAAGGCGTGGACGGTGTTGAAGGAGCTGCACGCCCCGACCTCCGTTGTTGCAACATTGATGCTGGAGAGGGAGCTGTCCGCGTTGCGCCTGAGCGAGGGAGAGCCAGTGCAACCTGTCCTGGACAAATTGCGCGACCTCTACGCGAAGTTGGCGATCGCGGGAATCACCTACCCAGAGCAGACCAAGTGCCTGAAGATGCTCTCGCTGCTGCCGGAATCGTGGCTTCAATTCACGAGCGGATTGAGCCTGCCGCAGAACCAGAGCTCGTGGACACTCGAGTGGGTGCGGACAAAGATTCTAGAGGAGGACTTCCGTCGCCGTCAACTGAGGGGTGGAGACGACGGCAGCAGCGGCTACGGGATGCAAGGGAGCCGACGTGGCAGAGGACGTGGCTTCGGTGGTGCTGGACGCGGTGCAAAGAAAGACGACGACTCCAACGACCAACAAGGAGGTACCGGTTGGGGTCGCGGTGCGAAATCTGGACGTGGGGGCAAGTCGGGTGCTGGTGGCAAAATGAAAGGGAGTTGCTGGTATTGTGAGAAGGAAGGGCACCCCTGGTTTTTGTGCTATAAGAAACCCGATGGATGGACCCCCCAGAATCGTCACCAGGATGGCGGCGCGCGGAGGAACCAGAAAAACGGCGCCAACATGGTCGCTGATTCGTCCGACAACAACCCGAAGGGCAACGGCGGTGCGGAGAAGAAGAAGGAGCGCACCGCGGGCCAATTCTTCCATATGGGAGACAAGGGGGAGCAAGGAGACGCATCTGCTAAGGCTGGAGCAGAGCTGCACCCCCTGGACTATTGGGTGTTGGACACAGGCGCTGCTTGGACAATGACGCCGCGCAAGGACCTGCTGGACGACGTACGCGCTGCACCGATTAATGAGGTGTGCTCTGCCTCTGGACACATGTTGAAGGTGGCTGGTGCGGGACGAGCTGCATTTAAGGGAGCGGATGGCAAGCCGGTGGTGCTGCACGACGTTCTCCTCGTCCCCGACCTGAAGGCCAACCTCATCTCCCTCCGTAAGCTTGGCAAGGCTGGGGTGAACACCAACACGGATGGGGCTCGCACTTATAAGGGGAAGCTGGGCAATCGGGTGCTTTGGGATCTGCACGAGAGCAAGGACGTGTACAGATCTATGTGGCAGCTGCCGGCGCTGGCGTGGCACGGTGGGGGGCAGGCTGGAGAGGGGTCTGCATCCCAGGGGGAGTGCAACGCCGTTGGAGGGGTTGGTGTGAAAGTGTCGGCCAGATCTGGGGAGACAGATTGGGCAACTGCACACCGACGTTTGGGGCATGTGGCAATGCCTTTGCTGAAGCAGCTGGAGAAGGATGGAGCCGTTAAGGGCTTAAAGCTGAACGGACAACCACCCGATGATAACTGTGAAATTTGCCTCCTTTCAAAGTTCACCCGTTTCCCCTTCCATAGTGTGGCTGGCAGGAGCAAAAAGCCG